TTTACCTAGTAATATTTGAGTAATGCCTAGTGCTTGAAAGTTTTACCTAGTAATATTTGAGTAATGCCTAGTGCTTGAAAGTTTTACCTAGTAATATTTGAGTAATGCCTAGTGCTTGAAAGTTTTACCTAGTAATATTTGAGTAATGCCTAGTGCTTGAAAGTTTTACCTAGTAATATTTGAGTAATGCCTAGTGCTTGAAAGTTTGACCGGGATTTTGACAGCCATCCATTGTCAGTCTTGACCATTAATATCTGGTTAATACGGAATAGAAAGTTTGACAAGGTACACATATCTGACATAATAAACAAAGGGCAGTATTTACAACAATGAATAAATCAGCTAGTAAGGAATATCACATCTATCAAAACTAACCAATAACTCACCTCATGAATTATATATATATATATATACGTCTAGGAAAAACACAGCGAACTGGTCGTGACACCATGCTATTGCAGCAGATTTTTACAGCCCGACTCCACCCCTTTAAATCAGGCTCATCAAAAAATGCCAAATAACAAAAGATCAGTCTCTCACCCATCCCCACCGACCCAAAACGAAACTTTAGTTTTTATTCCACATTTTTAAAGAAATAAAAAATTGATGCAACCTCATACTTCTTACGCCCGGCACCCACCTTCTAAAACGCCATCAAAAATGTCTAAACCCCGCTCTGGACCCCAACACTCTCACACACATTTTTCGGTGCGTGACAAATTATGGGCAACACCTAAAACGAGACACTTAATTATCTAACAAGGAACACATCATCTACACAGCTAGATCACTCATTAAAAAAGAGATGCCTGGAAGAAACTCTGCACACATTATAGGGTCAAAATAGCTCATTCTATTGCTTAGGAGTGTGTGTGTTTGTGTGTGTGTGTGTGTGGTTGGGGGGATGACTTATTTATATATGTAAATAACCCCTTATTTACCCCCGCCCCCTAAATGAAAGTTGTCTCATTTTAAGGTACACCTAATAGTGTTGCTTTCTAAATACCATTTTAAAATCTTGTATGTCATAAAACACCAGCTTGTTCAATTTTTTTCATTAAAACTATAATAATGCAACGCCCCCCCGGCTCCCCATGACCGGTTCTTGCCAACGCCTCTGTGCTCCCAAATGATAAATTCCAGCTGAGGGCTCTCACTATTGTAGTGGGTGTTTGAACTTTTATGGAGGTACTCAACCCCGCCAGTCTCACTTGGGAATTTCTCGTGCCCTTCAAAATAGAAAAAATAAAACGTGATTTTAAAAAAATAATTCAAAACATAGTTAGGCATACACTAGTGCACAAAATAAACTATGCCATCATTGTGTTCACATCATTGTGAACAAAACGGCCCCGCATTTGGTACCGTTTAAAACCAGTTTAAAAACAGATTATGTATGTTGAATTAGGCGTGAGCGTTATGTTCTTGTATTTTCGATCTCATTGCAGCTTTAACTTAAACATTTACTTAAATTTTAAGTAAGTGTTCTCTTAGTTTTTTCCGGTGCTAGACTAGAATTGCTCAACCTACTTTCCTTTTTTTTTTGCTCGACCTAGTATGAAGGGTGTTAAAAATCATACAGTAAAACATTGTGTTCGTCCTAGCACGTACATAAACGATCAACGCACGCCTGTATGGTGGCGTTGCCGCGATTCGTGATGTTTGTGTGTCGTGACGTCAAGGGTTCCACAATATAGAAAGATCACGATTCCGATGCGTGATATCTTTCTTGGCCCACTTTATTACTATGTCTTGCTGTCGCGCTGTGGTATTTCAACTATCCCTGTCCGCAGCCGCCAGTTCTAACCTTAAAAATCACTGCACTAGTCAATCAAAACAATGAAAACATTTTGAAAACATTTAAAGTTTTAAAATACAAAAAAAAAAAAAAAAGAACGGAAAGTCCCGAGTTCGAACCCGCAAGCAAATGAGTATCAAAAGCTCGAGACAGCAACCCATCTAGGAGACTCCAAAATCAAACAACTGCTGCCTTGTAATTTGTTCTTAGTTGGACAAAGGCTGTGGAAGCAAATCTAGAAAAATAAACCGGGAGTGATCTCCCCAAAACTTTCTCGAATATTCTTATATAACTTGGAATATAGACATGATTTTTAATTACTTAAACTTTTAAAAATAGAATAGAATCTCATAGAAAAAAGAATTGCGCACCAAGCGAACGCCAAAACAAAATGTGTATAATAGTGCGCAATATTATTAGTACTTTAAAAATTTACATGCGTTTTTTGAGAAATCGGAAATAGCGTAAATTAGTTTTTCCGGTCAACGGAAATTACTCAAAATTCGACAGAAGGTAGAGAATTAGATCTTTTACTTACATGTGAAATTTCATTTATCTATCTGAAATAGTACTCAAGTTATAGGCTTTTGAAAAATTCAAAGTAGAAAAAGTACCACTTTCGGTTATCGGAAATCGCTCAAAAGTTTATACGGATCTACGATTTTGATAAAATACTTATATATGAAATGTCATCAACCTAGCAGTAACGGTACTCAAGTTATCGTGTTTACACACAGACAGACACACACAAACACAGACAGACACACAGACATACGGACAAGATTGCAAAATTATGTTTTTCCGTATCCGTGAGGTGTAAAACGTAAAACGTCGAGATTTGTAAAAATCTCGATTTTTTTTTTTGCACGATTACAAGACTTTCTCTTTACTTCGTATATACGAGAAAGTAAAAAGGCTGAACTGAGTCAACGGCCTACATAATATATAACGTAATTGTACTTGAGGTGATGTCGTCCAATATTACCATTGCACGTAGAAGAAAGCAGAACCTTTGTTTAAATAAAGAACAACATGACCACTGTTTAATGTTTGATTAATGGAATTCCAAAAGTAGAAGACACGTACTTTGTTTGAATCCGTGCGAAGGTTGGTTAAACCCATCGCAACCCTGGAAGCTCTGATGTATCTAGTAGACAATGGAGTTCAAATAAAACTGTGGGCAGTCATTGGTCATGGACCCGCCCTAGTTCAACAGATAAAGTGTACGATAATGATTGGTGTTGACTACGCTTGGGTAATCAAAAGATTTTAGGATTGTAGGTAAAAATATTTACCAGACATTACAGTTGAAACTAGTGGGGAATTTAAAATACAGAACTTAGTAAACAGTATCCACGGTTCTTTAGAGCATCGGCTAAATAGTGACGTTCTTTCAATCATACATGTTGTGAAAATGTTGGACTACATTATGGTATTTTACTTGCAAATCTCATACAGATGGTGTTGTACTACAGCATGGGGTGTTTTGTAGTCATCACTTATGGTGTTAAAAGTAAATACTTGAACTAGAAGCTTATGTAAATTATATTTAACATTCTTATAAAAATATCCCCCCCCCCCCCCCCCCACCATTACCGATGTCAGACTATCGATAGGAAAAGAACTGCACTCTGGCAATCAGACGATTTTAAAGGTCATGAAGATTTTTTCCCAAGGCTACTTGAAGGGGGTGCTATGAGGTTACCAATTAATGCAGGTGACACAACTTGGTCAATAAGATTGTTCAGTTGACAAACAACAGTTGCAAAGATCTCAGTAGCGGATCTAACATTATAGATACACTTCAGCGCAGGTTAAGTCAAAACTGCATTAGAATTATCACTGATTGTATAGGCTGGTCTAGTATTGTAGAATCAATAGATTGTGTAGGTTGGACTAGTATTGTAGAATCAATTATTGTGTAGGCTGGTCTAGTATTGTAGAATCAATGATTGTGTAGGTTGGACTAGTATTGTAGAATCAATGATTTTGTAGGTTGAACTAGTATTGTAGAATCAATAGTTTGTGTAGGCTGGTCATGTTAGCAATAACACTCACACTCACACTCACACTAACACCCACACTCACACTAACACTCACACTAACACTCACACTCACACTAACACCCACACTCACACTAACACTCACACTCACACTCACACTAACACCCACGCTCACAACCACACTCATACTAGCACTCACACGCGCTCTCGAACTCGCAAACACATGTACACCAACACATACGCTCACAACGTATACCCACACCCACACTCACAACTTATACCCACACATACACTCACAACTTATACCCTCACCCACACCCATACTCAAAACTCATACCCATACCCACACCCACACTCACAACATATACCCACACCGACACCCACACTCACAACTTATACCCACACCGACACCCACACTCACAACATATACCCACACCGACACCCACACTCACAACATATACCCACACCGACACCCACACTCACAGCTTATACCCACACATATGGGTCCACTAGAATTTTTTTACTTATGAGCCCACCAGAATTTTTTACCCATCGGCCCACCAGAATTTTTTTTTTATCTAGGGCCCACCAGAATGTTTTACCTAGGGGCCCACCAGAATTTTTTACCTATGGGCCCACCAGAATTTTTTTTATCTATGGGCCCACCAGAATTTTTTTTATCTATGGGCCCACCAGAATTTTTTACCTATGGGCCCACCAGAATTTTTTTTATCTATGGGCCCACCAGAATTTTTTACCTATGGGCCCACCAGAATTTTTTTTATCTAGGGGCCCACCAGAATGTTTTACTTATGGGCCCACCAGAATTTTTTACCTATGGGCCCACCAGAATTTTTTACCTATGGGCCCACCAGAATGTTTTACCTAGGGCGATACCAGTGTGACCAACAACTGCCTACGATACCAGTGCGACCAACAGCTGCCCACGATACCAGTGTGACCAACAGCTGCCTACGATACCAGTGTGACCAACAGCGGCCTACGATACCAGTGTGACCAACAGCGGCCTACGATACCAGTGTGACCAACAGCGGCCTACGATACCAGTGTGACCAACAGCGGCCTACGATACCAGTGCGACTATCGCCCACCCAGTGGGAGAGTATTTAAAGCCGGCCCCGCCAGTGTGGTAACCCAATGCCAGAGACAGTGGCCAGCAGAAAGGTGAGTGTTAAGGCATAGCTAGGGTGGAGGAAAAGTTTCCAGAAACATGTTTAGATCTAAATCTTAAAAGCTGTTAAAGGAATTTTTCAGAAGCATCTAAGAATAATCTAACATTTTTAATTACTTCAATTAACGCTTTGTACGTTTTATTTAATATTACATTGTGTGGGCTCAAATTAACTACATTTATTTAGTGTTAAAAGCTCATAGATAATAAATTCATCGATATTTTTAAAAACTTTCACCTCCATAAAAGGTTGACATTAATTTTCATTGAACAAAGTTTAAATGTAAATAATATAATTTTTTTCTTTATATTTAATCCGCATTTTAAAAAAATTTGACAATGTTAAATCAATGTGAATCTAATGAAAGTTTAGCAATAATGACCGGTTTGTTGTGGTTCTCGCAGCGTTAGGTAAAAAAAAATGGGTTTAAAGTTAGTTTAAGGGAGTTTATTTGAAAAGTATCTTTACTTTTGGTAAGTTGTGAAAGATGAAAAACTCAACAGTAGAACAGAATTTATTTCAATTTTTGTTTTATTGTAAACATCAAGTGCCTCATTATTTCATGCTTTCGTCTTTCCTTACGAATAACGACTTTAATCGCACCCTGCACCCCTGCAATAATGTAACCATTTGCTCCCAAAATTGACTTGCTACGCCCTTGACATTTGGACAGTCACCCAGGGGTTTCTACCTCACAACTGCTGAGGGCGATCAACGTACACTAAAGGTTACCTCACGGGGGCGTTACACTAAAGGTTACCTCACGGGGGCGTCTAGGTGGTAGTATGGACAAACCCTCGCCCCAACAAATACGATCCAAGATATATAATGCCGATATTCTTTTGATTTAAATAACTCAGTTTTAGAAAGCAAGTCACGCGTCTAAAAATATACGTTAATAATAATTTGTTGAATAAACCATTATAAACTGGTGCGTAACATCGGTGTGTAAAACTAGATTTGAAAGTTTTAAAAAAGGACACTATGGAAATACTTATTTCCTCCAATGATAGAAGAAATCCACAAAGCGCTTATATACTCTCACATCCTGTCGATTTTTTTTTTTTTTTTTTTTTTTTTTTTACATTTAGCTTCTATTTATAAATATATATATATATATATACATTTAAGAATTGTTTGAATGGAAATTTATAAACTTAGAATTTTATAACCGAAGATTATTTTACTTCATATATTATTTTTTACGAAATGTTTCAAGCGCTGAGTTACAAAATCCAAGGGGAGGGGGGAGGGAACTTAAGTTAGCTTAGCTAGGGTTAGGTGGAGGTGGGGGGGGGGGGGTTGATGGTCCCAAGTCCAGAATGAGAAAGAAGGAGGGATTTGGGTTTGGGCTAGCATACCACCTAGTTTGGTTTTTGGCCAACATCAACCATGTAGCATACCACCTGGTTTGCTTTTTGGTCAACATCAACCATGTAGCATACCACCTGGTTTGCTTTTTGGTCAACATCAACCATGTAGCATACCACCTGGTTTGCTGTTTGGCCAACATCAACCATGTAGCATACCACCTGGTTTGGTTTTTGGCCAACATCAACCATGTTCAAGAAACTACTTTATTCAAAGAACCCCTATGCCTTTAATTTGCTGTTTTAGAAGGTTTTATCTCAAATTCATCGCGACGATTTTTTTAATTTGAAAAATGCCTACAGCAAAGTGCATGATGGGTGAAAGTAATGGATAAAAAAATAAATAAGTTTGCAGCCCATTCAATATGACAACACCCAATAAAAGTTTGAGTATATTTAATCACATTTATTAGTAAGACAGAAAGCGGAAACCAGATCAAGACTTTCTACTGACTTAGGTGTTTACATAGTCTCCGTTACATAGTCTCCGTTACATAGTCTCCGTTACATAGTCTCCGTTACATAGTCTCCGTTACATAGTCTCCGTTACATAGTCTCCGTTACATAGTCTCCGTTACATAGTCTCCGTTACATAGTCTCCGTTACATAGTCTCCGTTACATTGTCTCCGTTACATAGTCTCCGTTACATTGTCTCCGTTACATAGTCTCCGTTACATAGTCTCCGTTACATAGTCTCCGTTACATAGTCTCCGTTACATTGTCTCCGTTACATTGTCTCCGTTACATAGTCTCCGTTACATTGTCTCCGTTACATAGTCTCCGTTACATAGTCTCCGTTACATAGTCTCCGTTACATAGTCTCCGTTACATAGTCTCCGTTACATAGTCTCCGTTACATTGTCTCCGTTACATAGTCTCCGTTACATAGTCTCCGTTACATAGTCTCCGTTACATAGTCTCCGTTACATAGTCTCCGTTCATGATTCACATGAACTGAATTTGTGGAAAGTATAGATGACTGAGCTCGAAATTGGGAATATCTTTAATACACTGAAATAAATATACTATTAAATCCCACAATAAATACCATTGGGAATGAATGATACAATCGACTGAGGTGAGTGAAATACACAATCGACTGAGATGAGTGAATGATACAATCTGCTGAGATTGAGAGACAAAAGGCTACTTATCTTTTGTATGTATAGATTACGACGTTTTAAAAATATTTTATTTTAACTATACAGGCCTAAGCATTTTATCTTTTATATCTAGAAAACAAGATGGCTTCTAAAGACCTATATTTCTCCATCAAAATTTTGACGTCGCTTCTTCTAATAATGGCGGATCTAACATCACCCAACTTCGCCATTGAGGAAAACAGTTTCGAAGGTAGAGTTTTAAAATTAAAGTTGTAAAGTTACTGTTCACGAAATTATTACTTTAAAGGTTTTAGTTTTTAGGGTCAAAACGAACATACATTTTTCTTTCTTACACACCCATCTACACCTACACTCACTCTTATACCTAGCCATCGGTACCGGTTACACGTCAATTATATTTTTAAAATGTTATACTTGGTTGAGTAAAATATTTTATAAAATAGTTATTGGTCAAAACGCAAAATGCTTTACTACACATTGAACGATATTAATGACAAAGCAAAGAAATAACTAAATAGATAAAACTCCGACACATTTAACATAGCAGGCTACCAATACCTATTAGAAAATTAAAACAAAATTATATACATTATATATATTATTAATCAACAACATCATATTAAATGCCCACATTGATTAAGTGACTCAAATGATTCCGTTAAAACCCGGCAATTCAATGGTATTTTTATTGTGTTTTTTTTTTAACTTTCTTTTTTGGCCAAGAAAATTGTATACATTTCGTAGTGTGGGCCTACATCTTGATTAGATCTATAGATCTAAATTAAATGAAAAAGTTCATTTCTGCAAATTCTGTAATTGAAAGACGTGGGAAGCGAATCTTATTAAAAATGACGTCATTAGTATTGTGTATCATTTTGCACTTTCGATTTTTACTTTCTTGTTGTACGAAGTAACAATCGTGCCATAAATTTAAAATCTCGATGTTCTAGACCTCATTGAGTCAGAAAAAATTAGTTTTGCAGTTTTGTCAGTACGTCTGTGCGTATGTATGTCTATGTCTATGAAAACGATAACTTGAGTACCGTTACAGCTAAATCGATGCAATTTCGAATATAAGTATTATAACAAATTTGTAGTTCTGTGGAATTTTTTCTACTTTCGTTTTTTTCAAAAGCCTATAACTTGAGTATTGTTACTGATAGAGAAAGAGAGAGAGGAAATTTCACATAAGTAAAAGATCTAATTCTCTGTTTTATCTCAAATTGAGAGTAATTTCCGTTGACAGAAAGTAGTACTTTACGCTATTTCCGATATCTCAACACAAAAAAAGACGCATATGAATTTATAAAGTACTAATGTTCCGCACAATTATTTGCTGTTCCATTGACGGCCAATTATTTTTCTACAAGATTCTATTCTTTTTTTTTTAAATCTAGTATTTAAAAATTGATTAAATGTCATTTCTATATCCCGAGTTGCCATCCCCCGTAGTGTTATATAAGAATATTCGAGACAGTTTAGGGGAGATCACTCCCTCTTTATTTATCCTACAATCAATGACGCCATTTGTGTTGTGTACTTTGAGTAGTTGAAACTTTTTATTAATATTGTTTCATGATATAATTCTATTGGTTTCATGTGACGTCATTCTTTTTGCCAGTGATAGTTTTTGTTCTACTTATATGTTCTCTATCGCGTTCTTGTCACAACCAGTTTCTTCCAGGCATATCTTCGGGGGTGGGGGGTCGAATAATGTCTGCCCTTCCCCCTTCCTCCCAACATCGAACAAAAATAGAGTTTATATAGAAAATATATACTTTAACCAGTGTGTCGCCCCCCCCCCCCCGGAGAAAAAAGTCTGAAAGATACACTAGTCACAACCATAAACACTTTTCCGGTTGCATAATTAAAGATGTGTTTCTACATTCTAATATGCATATATTTTTTATTTTCCGTCTTTGAATAACATATAGTTTATAAATTTAGTACATCAAACATATTATTTTCAACAACAGTCCGTATCTTTATTTTCTCCTTATATTGCTGAAGATACTGATTTCATAGCCTCCAAAAAATGCGAAAATGTGTGTCGGATATATATATATATATATATAGGCCTATATATATATATATATATATATATATATATATATATATATATATATATATATATCAATATAAGTATAATAAGGCTATGGCTGACATATTTCTTCAATTACCTAAAAAAATTTAAGTGAGCTTCGATTTTGTTATTCGAATAAAATAGCACGGACAAATCACTTCCCAGAATCAAACTGTTGTAACTCCATTTTTCACTTTTTACTTTCTCGTTTACGAAGTATGGAGGCAGTATTGTAATCCTGCAAAAAAATTGAATCTCGACGTTTTACACCTCCCTGAATCGGAAAAACATAATTTTGCAATTTTGTCCGTATGTCTTTGTATGTGTGTATGTGTGTGTTTGTGTGTGTGTACATCTGGGAACACAATAACTTGAGTACCGTTGCAGCTAGGTTGATGAAATTTCATACATAAGTATTATACAAAAAATTTCTAGTTCTCTATCAACTTTTCAGCGATTTCCGGTAACCGGAAGTGGAACTTATTCTACTTTTGTTTTTTTAAAAGCCTATATCTTGAGCACTGTTTCACGTAGATAAACGAAATTTCAGATATAGATCTCATTTTCTGCTTTCTTTCAAATTTTGAGTGATTTTTCATGACCGGAAGTAGTACTTTACGCAATTTCCGATTTCTCGAAGAACGCATATGAATTTTTAAAGTACTAATATTCCGTACTATTATACACCTATAATTTGCCGTTCACTTTGGTGCGCAATTATTTTTTTCTACGAGATTCTATTCTATTTTTAAAAAGATAAAGTATGTAAAAACAGATTAAAAAATCATGTCTATATAATGAGTTGCCTTCCACGTAATGTAATATAAGATTATTCGAGAAAGTTTAGGGGAGATCACTCCAGCTTTTATTGTTCGAGTTATTAGTGCCATTGTGATCCTAATCCACTCAAATGTCACGGCGAAAGATGTGCCTGATGTGTTGTTAGCTAGCAATAAGCTTCTACGTGTCCAGATGTGTTTGGTTAGCTAGCAATAAGCTTCTATATGTCCAGATGTGTGTTTGGTTAGCTAGCAATAAGCTTCCACGTGTCCAGATGTGTTTGGTTAGCTAGCAATAAGCTTCCACGTGTCCAGATGTGTGTTTGGTTAGCTAGCAATAAGCATCTACGTGTCCAGATGTGTTTGGTTAGCTAGCAATAAGCTTCTACGTGTCCAGATGTGTGTTTGGTTAGCTAGCAATAAGCTTTTCTTTTGATTTCACTTGACCTAGTTCTTTGATTACTTATCAAGACGATCTTTAGAAATCATAACATTTTAAATCTAATTGTAATCGCCTACGGGTCACATTATTAGCAGCTATTCAGCTGCATCAAACTTTAACCGTGACCTATAGGAAAAAACTCTAAAAAAAAAAATACTTAAAAAAAAACTTTTTAAAAAACCACGTTTTTCTTGTGGACTAAAAAGTAGAAAATAAATTTTTCTTCCGACCATAGGGGATCTACCAATGACTGCTCGTAGATTTTGTGCTTCCTCGAGCTGTGCAGGTTCTTGTGATGACTGTTCATACATTTGATGATAAAAAACGTGGGTACGTTTTCGCTTTAATCATAAATCTGCCCGACCCAATTTTTTTTTAAGTATTTTATTTTCTCCTTTTTAGTCCGTTGCTACACATGAAAAACGTGGTTTTTAAAAAAAGTTTTTTTATATAGTTTATTTTCTACTTTAACTAATGACTTGATTAAGTATGACTTGACTAAGTGTTTTTAAATACATAAAAATTTAGAGGTTTTTGAATGCTTTTAGGTAGTTGGCCCACCGTCCATCCCTCCTTGAACAGATTAACTGTCGATTCTCCACCCACCTTAAGCATTACACTGTAAAACATTTTTAAAAAAACGTGGTAATAAAAAAAAGAATTGCACACCAAGTGAAAAGTTTCTCTTTCAAACCCGACGGTCTATGGGGCAAGTGAAGTAGAGTTCACTTGTTTCTGTGACCTCGGTATATGAAGAGATAGTGTGGTCAGCACTCTGCCCAGCCGCCTTTACTTTCCCTAACAGGAGTTAGGTACCCATCAGAGTTGGGTGGACTCAGGGACGGTCTACTGACTTGAACTCGGATTCGAACTCGAGACTAACGGGTTAGCAGTCCAGCTCTCTACCGCTAGACCACTCCGTTCACACCAAGTTAACGCCTAATAAAATGTGTATAAAAGTGCGGGATATTATTAGTACTTTATAAATTTACATGCGTTTTTTGAGAAATCATGTCCTCAATTTTAGGGTCCTAGGGGCGTAATTTAATTAAGCTAATTTAGGTCTCTAATTGCTAGTTTTTATGATTGCATCTAAAATTGTTAGGCGAAAATAGCCTGCATGCCGAATTTCAGATCTCTAGAGCAATCAGAAGTGGGCTAATTTTCGTTGTCAATTTTAACAACAAACAAACGCGAAGCTGAGTTAATAAAAACGTGTTAATAATAATATTTTTGAACATGACAAAATGAAGGTAAAGAAATTCGACTTTCAAATGACTTCCAAAAATTTGAAAAGGGAATCATAATTCATGTTTGTCTATAATGAGAGACAGTGTGTTCTAGACATTCAATTTTAAGTGGTTATTATTAGTGGTGCTATTACTTAACTTTCAAATAAATAAAGATGCAAGCAACACTAATGCAAGGGTATATTTGAATGGATTTAGTTCAATATTGATTTTAAAATCGTACAATTTTTTTTTTAAATTTCACAATTTTGACCTTTTGATGAAATGTTGACTTTGGTAGATATCCATAAAAAGTAATACAATATAAATAAGTTGGGGTAATATAGACGTTTACTAAGCTGAAACAGGCGGTTCCGCCGGCGCCCCATCATGGTGCGATTTTGCGCCCCGGGTTAGACTGTGAGCACTTTGCATTTATGTTTGCGTTTGTGTTTTCTTTGTGTTTGGGTTGGGTTTCCGTTTGTGATTGTGTTTGCGTTTGGATTTGATTTGTTTTCGTTTGCTTTTTCGTTTGTATTTTCTTTGTGTTTGTGGTTGGGTTTGTGTTTAAGTTTGTGTTTTCATTTGTGTTTGTATTTGTGTTTATTTTCGTGTTTTAGGTTTTGGTTGGTTGTGGTTAGGGTAGGCAATACCGGGTATATGCTGATTACTAAGATTACTAAACACACTGAGGCC